TATGGAAACATTTTCTTGCAGTCTATACCGTCCTTATATCAACTATATAAAGTGATAAACTAAATCTCTGAATTTTATTATTATATCATATCAGCCAGTCAAGAAACCGTTCCTTATGGCAGTCTATGGGAGAGAGGCCCATGCTCAGCGGTAATAATAATAAATAGATTTATTTTCTCTTCACAATTCATCAAGGATTTGTAATAATACTTAACAGTCAATTTTAACTTTAATACCATACCATAAATATACTGAGATACAGGTTTTATAACCTAGTTCAGACACAAATGTTTAGGCTGATCCAAATGTACAAATGAATTCGTACCTACTTTTACTGTAATTTCCAGTGCTGAGTTTGTTACAATCATGGTTATGCAATAAAATAATTATTATTATTAAAAAGTTCAAGTGTTAGTGGAGAGGTTCCAGGAAGACAAAACAATTGAGTGGCGTTAGTACCCGGCGTCCCGAATAGCTAAATTAGTATTAAAAAAAAACTAAAAAATTAATAAATCGACTGTTAAGTAGTAAGAAGTTCGCCGGGTTAGCTAGTATATATATATACACATATGCGTCAATGATGTTCTCTAGAAAGCTGTCCGATTCTAGGATAAGGGCATAAGGGCATGCGACCCCAGCCTCCCGAGCCGCTGCAGTATCCCAGTCTTTTCCTCAATTTGTAACATATATATAATGTTACAATTAAATTTAACGCCTATTCATAAGAGATGAGCAGAAATTATATCTTCGTTATATTACTAACCGCGCAGCTGACCGAAGTTAAATACAAGTAGGTGCTAACGTATAGATTTTAAATTGACAATCCCCATAGCTTTAAAGAGAAACCCGATCGTCCATTGGATCCGTTATCTGTCTAATGAAGACGTGCGTCCTTTCTTGCTGAATTTTTATATTAAAAACCGTTATTATATTTATCAAATGTATATTTATTATATTTATTAAATGTATATATGTTTTCCTATATAAAAATAGGTACAAATATACATTCACAGATTTTAATACGCTGCAACGACCTGTAATAGTACCTAAAAACAGGTGAATATACCAAGAAACTTCCAGAAAGGTCAACAGTACAGCTCAAACACTACTAATGTACAGTCAACAAAACAACTGAAGGCAATAGCAGCGCGGTGTTAAGTTGAAAAAACAAACGCAGTGTAGTGTAATCACGTCCTCGTTTCAAGTGCAAATCCACCAAGACATTAGTGCTCTCGCTAGACAGCCTAGTGAGGAGCGTCCTTTTTTTTTATTAAATCAGAGAATTCGTTTAAATTTTTGATTGAATGATTACAGTATGGCAGGGTTTCTCAAAGTAGGATCCACGGACCCCTTAGGGGTCTGTAGCATGTGTATCAGGGGTCTGCAGTCAGGGAGGTTAGTTAACTGTAAAAATATTTATTAGGGAATTATATTTATTAGGAAATGTTCTTACTGAGGCCAAACAGCAGCATCCTTCTCAATAAATTTGGAGTAAGTGTAATAAAATAATCAATAAATGTTTTTTTAATATAAATAAGCCATTTTCTAAATTTTATTTATTTATTTATTTATATACATATTTTTGGTGAGTTTTACAGTTTTTACCAATGCACTCACTAAAAATTAAAAAATCAAACATTATAATACAATATTGGAATAATAATAATAATAAAAATCTAATTATGTTATATAATATAAATTGCCCTTTTTCTAAATTTTAGGACCTAACTAAAATATCTTTGACAGAGGTTCGTGGAATTGTTTAAATTATGAAAGTAGTAAGTGACTGCAAAAAAATTAAGAAACCCTACAGTATGGGGTTCTTCAAAAAGGGTGTATTAAGGTTTCACCAGGGTCGGCAATACGCATGTAACACATTGCAGGCGTCTTAGGCTACAATGATCCTCTTAAAACATCTTTAGAAGTCTAACTGCGGTTGCCATCCCGCCTGCCAAGCGTGGCAACTACTGGCAAAACTCCCCTTATGGGGAAGGCTTATGTTCAGCAGTGGACAGTTAACGGCTTAAATAATAATGTAAATACATTGTTTAGTTAGAATTTTAATATATTACTAAGATGTCTGATCCATGTTAAACCAAATACATGGGAGCACTTATAATACTAGTGCAATTTGCCGCCGAGCGTCACAAACAAAGGTTAAACTCTATAGAAACTAACGCTGAATAAACTTTACAATGTCTTCGTTTATTGTTTTTAAATGTTTATTTTATTATTCCAGTAATACTGTAGTAATACGATGTTCGGTTTAAAAGCATTTACGAAATGAAGCGCTCTTATATACGTATATACACCAGGAGTACAGTGCAGCGATTAAAATAATAATTGAGAAACTGTTTTAATTCATGAAGCGAAACGAAAGCGCACGATGAAAGCGCTGTTTGGTTAGTAGATATGAAATATAATTATATAATTAATAGCTTATCCATTTAAATATAGATTTTTTTTTAATGTATATATAGATATATGATTGATTTACATCACTTACAGCACGAAAAAAAAATGGAAAGATAAAGACAAATGATATATTCTTCAATTCTTTCACTTTTTATCACTATACTACACTACTAGTACTGACTAATTAAAATATATAATAGTATTTCTAAAAAAAAATTGTACATACAAAAAAATCCAGTTCCTTTGTGATAACGATTTTATATTCTAGAATTTTAATGCAACGTCCAAAATACGAGTAAAATGAGGAAAAGCTAATGTTAACACTCTTGTGCCAGCGTAAGTCAACATACGATGTTTGCCCTGTGTATTCATAATTCATAGCCTTTGAACATTTTCAAATTCCCTCCGTTATACACACCATATTATATAATTAAATGTTGGAGAATATTAATTATTTTTTAAAATAATTAAGTGACGACCTGAAATGCATTGCAGGGAGTCGGAGAGATCGGAGAGATGGAGGGAGCGGATGCAGGTGGCTCTATGGCAATCTATGGGGGAGGCTTATGTCCAGCAATGGATCGATAATGACTGAAATGATGTTGATAATGTATATACATATATATATATATATATATATATATATATATATATATATATATATATATATATATATATATATATATCCATATCTTCCACTACCAGAACGAGACTTTGTACAAAAGTCGTTTGCTTGAGTACCTCTGTCCCATTCGTGTTTCTACCGTGAAGCAGTTGTGTTTGCGTGGCTGTGTTTCAGTTTTAACGTTGGGATATGGCAGTGAATTTACAGGGTACAAAGGAATAACACCTGAGTCCTCAGGAATGGCGACGCATGACGTATAATGGACGAAACAATATACTCTGTTATGGCACTGCTCATGTCTATAGGCGACGGTTACCACTTTCCATCAGCTTGTTTGCCATTTTAAGTTGGATAAATATTTATATTACATCTATAAAGAACGAAAGGCGGTCTTATCGCTAAAGTAATCTCCTCCAAACAACCTTTGGGTAGAGGAAAAAAGAAAAAAATATTATATCATATGCAGAAGTGTATCTAATAAAAAACGCTCGTGTTAATAAAACATATGCAAATAATCATATGCATGCCTGTCATACATCTAAATTCTTATAATAATATATAATAATAATATATAAACAAATATATAAAATACGTAACACAGATTTATATATATACACATTATTAAATTACTCACATATGTTATATATACAATTACTTTACAAACAGTAACGCGACAAGTCGATATAATATATAAAAAAAAAAAAGAAGAAAAAACCAGTTTACAGTTATAGATCCAGTAGGAATGGCAATACCGATGCTAACGGTATACGCCGGCAGGGCACCAGTGAGGCATGATAGGTGAGAATAAAAGCCAGGTCAGTTAGCCCATCGTGACGAATACATCTAGAATTCAGCACGATGATTTCCAGAGGGAACTACGTGGAGGTCCATCTAATAGGGTATATTGCTACCAATGGGGCTGTCAAACTCCATTGCTAACAATCCCTTTCTCCCCCCCCCGAAATGGCAGGTCAGTTAGCCCGTTGTAATTAATACATCTGGAATTCAGCACGGTGGTTTTCAGGGGGAACCACGTGAAGGTCGACCTGATAGGGTATATTGTAAGCAATGGGACTGATAGTCCGCATTACTAACAATCCCTTCCCCCCTAAGATGAAATGTAGTGAGATTTAGTTGGGTTCTTGAAGATTGTTAATGACTGGGCGCTAGATATTGTGGATGATATTGTATCCTAATATTGACTCTAATTCTAAGGCTTTAGCAATATTTGTATATTACAGGTCCCTGTCCTCCTTGGAAACAATTGTGCTACATTCCAGGTAGATTTATCGCAATCCTTTCATCCTCATGTATCGCCCCTTACTGATACTCTGCCGGCGTATACTGTGAACGTAAGTGTGATTACCATTCCATTATCACCAATTAAAAGAACAATAAAACATATAAAACAATGTGCTATGAAAAGTCATGTTCTATGATTAGTTAAAATTTCACAGTATACGCCATTATAATTCGACGCAGTAGGTATAGGACGACCCCCCACTAGATGGAGTGACGACCTGAAATACATTGCAGGGAGTCGATGGATGCAGGTGCCTCAGGACCGTTCCTTATGGCAGTCTATGCGGGAGGCCTATGTCCAGCAGTGGACAGATAATGGCTGAAACGATGATGATGATAGGTCCCAGCATAGAACGAGTCACCCCTTCCGTTCTCGTGGATGTCGTAGGAAGCGACCAAGGGAGTTTATGGTAGAGGAATGAGCCCCAGCGTCCTTCTTAAAACATCTGTAAAACTACGGTTGCCAAACCGCCTGCCAAGCGTGACAACTACTGGCATAACACCCCCTATGGGGAAGGCTTATGTTCAGCAGTGGACAGTTGACGACAAAAATAGTAATAAATAAAAATAGTTTAATTGTATTGTTTAATCCAAAGAACAACTTCGTTTAAATTAACACTACTCGTGAAAGATAAGAGTAAATATTGTTTAAAAGATTACAGTTAAGATAATATTTATTTTCATATAATATTTCTAAATAAACGCACTCAATGTAAATATAAATTGTTTCTCTTGTATTATATAGAACATTTTATTTATAATAAAAAATGTCCTTATGTTGTGAATAAAAATTAAAAAAAAATGAAAATTGGAAACATATTTATTATCAAATTATGTTTGTATAAGCAAGTTTGTATTCCCAAGAGACTACAGCATGGGGTTCTTCAAAAGGGGGGTAAAGAGGTTTCTTCAGGGTCGGCAACGCGCGCGTAATACCTCTGGTATTGCAGGCGTTCAAAGGCTATGGTAATCGCTTACCATCAGGTGGGCCGTATGCTTGTTTGCCACCTCAGTAGTATAAAAAAAACAAACAAGTTTAACGTTGATTCATTTAATTGATTGATTACATTGATTGACTTTAGGCTAAGCTCTGTAAGAAACAGGAATTGTATTGCCATATACATGGCAATACTGGTTCATCTTTTTTTTATACAACTTAGAATGGCAAACAAGCTGACGGTCCACCTGATCGAAAGTGGTAACCGTCGCCTATAGACATGAGCAGTACCATGGACATAACAGAGTATACTATTTTGCCCATGATACCCCCCATGCGTTGCCATTCCTGAGGACTAAGGTGTTATTCCTCTGTACCCTGTAAATTCACGCCATATCCCACCCTTCAAACCGAAACACAGCCATGCAAACACAACTGCTTCACGGTAGCAACACGAATGGGGCAGAGATAGCCAAGCAATCGACTTTTGTACAAAGTCTCCCTCTGGTATATTTATATATTACTTATTTCGTTTATAATCTACTAGCTTTTTGCCCATTACTTTGTAAAACTAATGATATTGATCACTTCTAGATAGCGTATGATGATAAATTATACACCAGTTTTTAAGTAACATGTTCAAATTTTGGTTTAAACCCCTCAAACATTTTTTTCTTAACTACAATATCTCTCATATGCAGACATTATCTAGCTACAATTTTATTAAATTAATGAAATAACAACATGAATAAAAATCAATTGCCGAATGTATGTATTTTATGTGTTTATTTAATTGTATTTTTTATTTTAAAAATTATAAATATATTTGTTTTTTTTTTATTTATATTAATTAGATAATAAAGTATAAATAAATATACAGATGCGTCAATACGATGCATTCGTCAATACAGTGTAAAACGATAGCATTTATTCGGGTAATTCTTAATTATTTCTTCTATAGTTGTCAGAACAGGTTAGTATAAATGAAAATGTTTAAAAAAAATTTAAGTTAAATCTTCATATTAAAAAAAACTTATTGAATGAAAGGTAAAATTTGGTCTCATTTTCTTCATTAGCCCATACGCGCAAAGCCGGTGCGGGTAAATAGTTTAATATAAAGTGTTATTATCTGAATAACTTATTCATTTATTATTATTATTTTTTTTATTGTTAAGGAGACAAACGACCAGACGATCTACCTGTTGGAAAGTGGCTGCTATCGCCCATTAACACCTGCAATACGAGAAGAGTTGCTTGTTGCATACTATTGACTGAAACTAAACAGTATTAATCTGACAATTAGCCATTTAGATACTCTTCTATTACGTTTAAAACATCTACGTATAATAATTCTTTTACATCCCTAGCCCATAAATAGTCCATATGAGAAAAACTTTCATATTGCACTGTTACAAATTTAAATAAATTCGGTAGTTTCTTTATAAGTATTTCGACATCTTCAATATCACCAAACCAATCGTTGGGGCTATAGAATATAGCCACAGGAGAGGTAATTTTCTCAACAGGATAATCTGGAGGTATCGTAGATCCATATTTCTCTATATTTCTCCAGCCATGATCAAATTGTCTAAATTTAGCTGATTGTACCAGCTGCGTGAAATGTATAAATTGTTTCGTCGCTACACCAGCAGGCATATGGCCAAATATCACAGGTAAAGCAGTAGAATTTATCTGAGTAATATCTGGACCTGTAACAAGAAAAACTTCATTGTTACACACTATTGTAGCCATTGCTGGAGTCCCGCAGAATGTACTTGTTAAAAATTCCATTAATGCGTTTCTTGGCATGAATTCATACATATCCATTGCTTTTGCCGCATCCCATAATATTGAGTTTATGGGACTTGAAATTTGCAAAAGCGGACTCTTAGTATGAGATAAAAATGACACCGCCGATAAAGCTACCATTAGTTTAATTTTATCATTGTATTCTGGTCTTTCCGAACATAAAACGAAAAATGTTGTCGTGCCTTGGGAATGTCCAATATATATTAGTTGTTCCTGATTAGTTGAATTCAAAGCATAATCAATCATAACCGGCAGATCATAGCGTCCAATCTCATCCCAGGTGAAATCCCAGAACTCGGCGCAAGATGGAGACAAACTGATGTGTTTTCTAGAATGTGTTGTACCACGAGCGTTTCCCATCCATACGTCATAACCTGCATCAGCAAGTAGGTAGGCTAGCCCACGGTCTGGTCCAGGAGTCACATAGTCGTCAGAACTACAAAAAACTCCATGCATAAGAAACACGACGGGACCCTTATTTGGTATTCGGAACATGTTCAGTAAATACCCATCACTAGTCTGCACCTCATGCTGTTCTGCAGGATAACCATATTTATATAATAACTGTGTTATGTTCAAATCTATATCTTCATTGTATTTTATCGACTTGAACTCATGATAAATCGATTCAATTGCTGTGATGTTGAACAACGCTTCAAACGCTCCACTGTCCGCATAATCTTTAATTTCTTCAAACATATCATTGTCGATGTCAGCAGCATTTCTTTCAAACAATGTACAATTTTCGCCATTTATAACTTTTAGCATCTCACTGAATATTACGAATAAAACGCTTCGAATGATCATTTTAGGCAAAAATGACTTAGCTGATGTAATGCATTTAGTAACTTCTGCTTTATAGGTAGAAAAATAGGTTACATGTTCTCTTAATTTTTATATACGTTTATTTATCACTTATCAAATACAAATTTCACATTTCGGCTAATAAAAGGCTTCATTTTATGGCTTATATTTCTAGATCTTATCTTTATGCTCTCAGATATATTCAATTTATCATTTCAAATACGTGTGCAGTAATTTGTTAAAATAAAAACTTATATAATAACTACTCGTACATACAGGTGGCCGAAACAATGTTAACAAAGTAGGTTCTAAATTCAGTTGTGGTTTTTTTTATGTTTGTTACCTCATAACTTCGTCAGTTCTAAACCGATTTAGAAAATTCTTGCTTTTTCTGAGAGGATACAATTTTTAGATCAATTTCATAGAAATGTAGTCAAAATCGGTTCTGTAGTTTAGTTTTTAGATCAAAATAACTGGTTTATAATACAATTGAGGTCGGTTCTTGTTATTTGGAATTAAGACACAATCTGTATATACAGAAATTATGTTATAAAATTTAAATAAGTTCTAATAGATGTTATACCTCCATAATTCGTGATTTATAGATTTAGAAAATCCTAATATCGCTTTAGAGAGCTTTGTATTAAAATAGTAACTATTGATTTTCTTGGGGCTTCTTCTCAGTAGATAACAACATTCCAAAATCAATAGTAGAATTATAAAAGACAGTAGTTTAAAAGAGCCTGCACACAAGTCTATTTGAATGAAGACTTTTTTATATCACAAAGGTGACAAAAAAGATTTTTTTATGCAACTTAGAATGGCAAAGCTGATGACCCAGCTGATGGAAAGTGGTAACCGTCGCCTATAGATATGAGCCGTACGGTACCCCCCATGCGTTGCCATTCCTGAAGATTCAGGTGTTATTCCTCTGTACCCATTAAATACACTGTCATATCCCATCCTTCAAACTGCTTCACGATAGAAATACGAATGGGACAGAGATGCCCAAGCAGACTACTTTTGTGCAAAGTCTCCCTTTGGTTCTTACAGTCCTTTTGATAGTAAACGAAGCCTGTGTATACCTGCAACACTAGGAGTATCGCGTGAGCTTTGCCGACACTGACAAAACCTTAATATACCCTTTTTAAGAGCTAGAGAAACTTACGCGGGAAGCTCATTCAGAAAACATCTTTAAAACCGTACTCTACGCAACCATTTATGTTCTAACGCATATGGATGAATTTCCTGTCTGATCATCAGTATCACATAAAAAATAATCTATAAATGCCATATGTATAGAATAAGAGTCTTAGTCAATGAATACATATACTCTATCCAATAGAAAACAATATGTAGAAATATCGAAACTTAACTCAAGCATAGAAAATGGCGTACTGCAAAGCAATATTCTATGAGTTAAAGGAGCCGACATTCAAAGTATAATTGTATTGTAAAAACATGCCTTTTGCATTATGTATTATATAAGAAATAGTGAATTATTAAGAAAGGATTTAAGGAGGCAAATATTCTCCCTTTTAGTTTCTTAAAAACAGTAATCTCAACAATCTTAATCGTCATATAAGCCGTTAACTGTCCACTGCTGAACATAGGCTCCCCTTGGAGGGTTTTGCTAGTAGTTGCGATGCTTAGCAAGCAAGTTGGCAACAGCAGTTAAGCTTTCGTGATATTTTAAAAGGCTACTGCCCATCCCTCTACCATTAAGTCTCCTTAATGGATAATCTCTTACGACACCAAGGAAGGGTACATGCTTTATTTTATTTAAAAACATTCAACGATTCAAAAAGTTAATTTTATCTTATTTGTATAGGAAACTATTTACATATAGACAAAGTATTTTTAAATATTGTACGACTTTTATAATATTTTGAATAAATGTTATTACTGTACCTTACGAGTATTTTCAATTGTTTTCTTTTCTCGTAATATGTATTTTGTATAATGTCAGTAAAAACATTTAGTCGTGATGATGATGATGATTGAAAACACCAAAAAAGATATGCTTACTATGTTCAGGATATATCTGCTACTATAATACAATATATAATGCCGTTATTTAAGTCTGGTGGCAAGGAAAACCTAACAAAATTTAGGCCAATCTCAATTCTATTTGTTAAGTTTTTCGAAAAAGTAATTCTTATACAAATGTTAGATCATTTCGATTTAAGTTACTTACTCCGCCAGAGTATACCGTTAGCGCAGGCGGGGTTACCACTCCATTATCACCCATTAAAAAAACCCACCGTCTAAGTAACCTGATTATTATTTACTTAAATTATCGCATTAATCATGCCATAGATAATATAACCGAAATGAGAAGATGTGGCAATCACTTCGAATAAAGATTAGACATTGCGACAGAAAAAAAACGAGGACATTACGCCGTTCTCAAATAATTGGAATAAGAGTTCAAGCTCTTAAGCTCGAAGACGAAGATCGCACTAATTCTTGTCTCTTGTAACTTGGACCACACGTCAATCTCTGTCTAGTCTCTATGCGAGACACGTTGTCGTTCATTTAAGTTTTTATTCCGCCAAGAATCTAAGTTTGAAGTTTCAAATGAGCGTAATTTCAAACTATACTGAAACCACAGACTTCATTTACATTTTAGTTACATTATTTAACGGAAATTTTATTATTTTTATTCTCATCTGAGATTTACTGTGGAGTTCCTTTCAGTGGTATAGTTTGAAATATTTTCCTTATAGTACATAGATAATAGAGTATAAAAGTGCTTAAGTATATAAATTATATTATATTTTTATTAATGGATGATAATGGAATGATAACTTCGCCTGCGCTGACGGTATACGCTGTCGGGACATCAGTGAGGGATGATGGGTTAGGATGAAAAGGCAAGTCAGTTAGTCAATCGTGGTGAATACACCAGGAATTCAACACGATAGTTTCCAAGGGGGGCCACGTGGAGGTCAACCTGATAGAGTATATTGTTAATAATAGGGTTTCCAAACCCCATTACTAACAATCCCTTCCCCCTCTTTATATATGACTTAAAAAGTACACTTATAAGGTCGCATAGTTTAAAGCAATATTATAAAGAGGATTTTTTTTATTTGTGTAGGATAAAGTCATAAAACACTTTACCGATCTTAATGAGTCTTTCATTTATAGAAATTTTAGGTTTCTTAAGCTGTATTTTATTTAAAAATACAAAAGCATAGGAATGGCTAATGTACAGCAATATCTTTTACCAGAGGGAGACTTTGTACTTTGTCGATTGCTTGGGTACCTCTGTCACATTCGAGTTTCAACCGTGAAGCAGTTGTATTTGAATGGCTGTGTTTCGATTTGAAGGGTGGTATATAGTATGAATTAACTGGGTACAGAGGAATAACACCTGAGTCCTCAGGAATGGCAACGCATGGGGGATATCATGGGCGAAACAGTATACTTTGTTATGTCCATGGTACTGCTCACGTCTAGCTTGTATTTATGTCTAGCTTGTGTCATGTCATGTCAGCTAAGTTGTATACAAAAAAAATCTATACATATATTGTAGTTACAGTTATATTGGACTAATAAAAAATATATATCGGTTTGGACAACCGATTTTAGCTTTATATTAAAATGAACTACCCAATTGAAACGAACGATCACATCCAACTAGTATGGGCGATATCGAAATGAGGGGTGACCATTTTTCTGCCCTCATTTTCCAAATGAATCCAACATATAGATATGGGAGCGGTACAGATATTAATAATGCCTATAAATCCAGTTGTTGTCCTTAGATATTAACAATACATGCTTATATATAATACCTTTAGACTATATAGATAAAATGTCTCCATACAAATGCTTCGAGAAAAGCGGGTCAACTTTTTCATACAACTTTGCGAGACAAATAGTCATGATTGATTCCTTTGTAACCTCTATATTTAGACATGAGTGATTCCTTTATAACTTTTGTATTATAAATTTAGCATCTTTTTAAAGCGAAAATACTTATTTATTTCTAAACAATTAATTATAGATACGTCATATTGTGTGCGTAACTATATAGAACACTGGTAAAAAAACGAGTTTTTTTTTATACAGCTTAGAATGGCAAACAAGCTGACGGCTGCTCACCTGATGGAAAGTGGTAACCGTTGCCTATAGACATGAGCAGTGCCATGGACATAACAGAGTATACTGTTTCGCCATGCGTTGCCATTTCTGAGGACTCAGGTGTTACTCTTTTGTACCCTGTAAATACCTGCCTTATCCCACCCTTCAAACCGAAACACAGCCATACAAACACAACTGCTTCACAGTAGAAACGCGAATGAGACAGAGGTACCCAAGCAATCGACTTTTGTACAAAGTCTCCCTCTGGTAGTCAACTAATTTGACAATTAGCTGATAAAAAGTTGATCCGTTTTTGAGGCCCGATGCTCTATCTATATAATCTAAGGTTACATTTTATCTCTTTTTTGTTTCGTGATTCGAACTCTTGCAATATTAATTAGTTACATTTCATCACTATCCACTCATTACTCGAGTAACGATCTTCTGAATACTCTTCTGGTAGGCAGTGACTTCAAATAAATTTTATGTGTATAAAAGGTATTAATTCTGTTTATAGTTTAGGTTAACTGACAGTATAATGTTTATTGCTAAACACATATAACGCTTTATTACAAAATTATATTGCCAGCCATTGACAATAGAATATACTCGTTTCGATTGATCGCATTCATGGACAATTTTGTCCCTTGTTCGCTTTAAAAGCTTTGGTCACATGTCCTGCTGTTATAAATGAAAATATTTAAGACAAGAAATAAAAATTTGATTAACAAGTACATTTAAATTGTTTTGCGCCTATTGGCGATGCAAACTCTTTAAATATTATTATACTTTTTATACACATTTACTTTTTGAAATATTCTCATTATTTGCAAATTTCAATTTTATACTCGTTTTTTTTTTTTTACATTGTCCGTTACTTGCTCGCTGTTAATACATTTTTTCGCTACTAAATTCCGTGTCTACATTATTCAGTCATCTTATCACATTTCATTCCTCCGTAATAGTGCTGTTTAAAAACTAATC